TCCTCAGTGTGCTGAGACTGAAAATGCCAAAAGTCTGTGCAGGTCTTGACAAGTATAGCTTTAAAATTCCTGGACTAAAGGTCCTGACAAATCTTAACATCACGTGTCATCATGTCCTCAAACCCACAACATTCTTGTAAAAGTATGTTTCTTCTAGTTCCTACAGTTGCTGACTGCAATGCGTCTGTGCAGAGTTTGACACTAAGAAGGATTTTTCCACTTCATCTGCTGAAAGTGAAAGTTTCTCTGAGCTCATTGAACATGCTGATTTTAAGGGCGGGGCCTACAGCAGGATTTGTGAACATCACAAATAAGTTAGGAGGTCAGTCCTGGTCCAGTATGCAGCTTTTACAGTGTGATATAGAAACTTGAAGCCGACAGTGCACATCCACTGAGAATGGACTTTACAGTGAAGGAGCAGACATCTTGTGTCCAGCAGGAAAACCTTAAAAATGAACAATATTTACATATTCAGAGATTCTGGAGGTTTTAATGAGGTAGAAGGAGGAGATGACTGGTTTTTAATGTGGAAATTTAAAAACATTATCATTCCAAGCTATTTGTACATGTCTTAATAAATGTATGGAGGGGATCTTTTAAGAATTTTTGCTTTAAGCCTCAACCTAATTTTGTTTTGTTCTTCTTCCACAGAACCCCGACATGCTGACGAGGAAGATAAATCTCCGTCACATCAACGCCCACATCACATGTCGTCTGTGTGAGGGCTACCTGATCGACGCCACCACCGTCACAGAGTGCTTACACACCTGTAGGTCCCTCCTCACACACCAATTCCCCTTTTCTGTCTTTCTTTGTGACTCAAAATATCCGCACAGTTTCAGTTCTGCTGCTCACCTTTCAGTTTTGTTTCTGTTTTTCTCTATCATTGTCAGCTCTTTGTCTCATCAGTTTCTTCTCTCTTGTTTACTTGATACATCGGCTGTGTGCGTCTCTAAGGGGATTTTGGGATTTTCCTCGTCTCAGAAGGTGTTGCCTTCAGGATTTATCCCTGATAGGAAGACTCCTGGAGGCAGCAGAGTGATTCCTATGTGATCCATGCAGCTCGGGTCCTACACTGCCTGCAGTCTGTGTAGTCTATCATACCACAGGCTATGAAGTGCCGGATCTGTCTGTCTGTTAGTCGGGCTGGCTGTGCACTAAGTAGGAGTTTTAGGCACCCACAACTTGACGTTTCTCTTCATTTGTATGCTAAGCACACATAAAACAATTGAAAAACATTTAGTGCCTTAAACGTGAGGTGAACGCACACACAGACTCACAGGATGACAGGAAATGAGATTTTTCCCGTCCGGTAATCTGCACGTTCATTGTCCCCCATAAGAACGTAAGAAGATGGCATCTCTCATTCATTCAGTGGTACACCATTAGCAATAAAGTAGGATAATGCCGTGTGTTTGTGTCTTCAGTTGCAGTCATTACACTGTCTGGTCACAGCCTCGGCTGGCGTTGTACAGAAACATTTCTCAAGCCTGAAAGATGGTTATAGGTTAGGCTTCTCTTAAGAACACTCTTTAGAAGAAATGCGTGTTGGCCATAATTACTTCCAAAGTAGTTGAGTTTATGTGTTTGTGTGGTGAATTTAATCAAATCTGTTAACCGTTGCACAAACATCCTCAATGGTGTAAAGATTATATTCATGAAAACCTCCTTTCTCGGTCAAGTTGAATGATTCTTTGTTGTTGATTGATTTTTTGTTAGGATTTATTCAGTGTTATTGGTCAGTTTGCATGTTTACTAATGAGCTTAGAACTTGAATAATCAGCTGCAACAGTTATTGTCATGTAGTCTCAAAAACAAAGTCTTGAATGTTAGATGTTCGATAGACAGATTTTAATTGGGTTTAATTTGATTCCCTGAGGTGTTTTAACAGTTCTCCTCATAATGCAGCTCATTGGGACTGTATTGCATTTGGATTTCTACCATTCTGAAAGCATCCATTTCACTTTTTTTACTTTCTGAAGATTAATTTGGTCAAAAGTGAAACACATAGCTAATGATTTTTTTAAATCTATGTCCAGATTTAAAGACTGTACTTACACTTCCAGCTGGTTACTTGTAATTTGAATCAGTAGAGATGCACTATTAAGATTCTGATACGGCCTTTTAACAGTTTTCACAGTTATAAAACTCTTATGGTAGATACGCCTGCACAATCTAATGCAGTCCAATACAACGGCTATGCTGTAATATACAGAATGTTTGTTTTTTGTCAACGGTAGAAGTGTTAATTAAGTTTTAGCATGGAGATCATAGCTAGTGCTGGGGTTGCACTGGACTACATTATGTTCATATATGTATGAAACAATTTATACAAAAATGAGATACACCTCTCAATAAAATGTAGTTTGAGTACAGCTCCACCTTTAACTATGGCCTCAGTAATAAACATGATTAATGTTTGCATTTCCACTGTTGTATAGGACTGCATTAGATTGCACAGGTGTATCAAATAAACAGGCTTTCTGCTAACAAGAAAATGATGGCACTGTTCTGTGTGTGCAGTCTCTTAGTTCATAATACATCAGTAATACATATATTTAAGCTGATATTCTTTACGAACTGTTGTGAAGAGAAAACAAATCAAACATTCTTCAAAGGAGGAGAGAAATCCAAGCAATGCGCTCACTGTGCCTCAGTTGTAGCAGCTCAAAAATGAAAATAGAACAGCCTTACAGAGACCACATGGGTCTGTTTTTGAAACATTTAATTAACAATATTTGGAATATAAACATAACTAACAATTGAAGTTGTTTCAGTGGGTTTGGATAGTTTAATCAGCAGCCAATTGTTTCATTTTGATTAGTTTGTAATTGAAGCCTGTTCATTGCGAGTCGTTCTGTGTCCATTCATCTTTAAATTTGACTAAAGTAAGTAAACATTATTTATGTAGCACGTTTGAAAACAGAAGTTACAAAGCGCTTTACAGACAGGAGAAAAGGAAAAGAGGAAATAAAGGAGATGGAAATGACAAGGACACAAACAACAGAATATAAAGAAAAGGCCAAATAAAACAACGTGCCTCTGATTTAGCTTCAGACTTGGTGGAGGCCCTTCAAAGGAGCAACAAGCTTTGAAAAAGGCATATTTGACGTGTGACCTGATTTAAGCACAGATTACTTCTTCCAAATGTTTAGGGTTGATGGAAGAGCTTGATTTCCATCGGCTTTACATTTACTAAAACAATATCTGACCCAGAAAATCCTGCTTTTTGAACTGTTGAGTTGTAGAAAATGTAAGCTGTAGCATTATAAACTGCAGCTGTAGACCATCTGTGGGCTTTTTGGCAATTTTCATTACTCTTGTGAAACAAGTTTGAAAGCTTCCTCTCCGATCCCTCAACCATCTAGCCAGACTCTTCCTGTACAACCAGAGAGGCCTCATGTATTTTTCAGCTTCAGTATTGTTAAAACCATCACGTGCTCGGTCAGGTCGGACACTGTTGAGCAGCTTTATAGCGCCTCTACAGGTCAAGCATGTTAGCTTGTGTTTTACTGCCTGCTAGAGAGAAAAGGAAGTGGTGTGACCTTGAATTAGCCATTTTGTAAGGCCTGGGGGGTCTCACTGAGTCGACCTCATCTGCAACCTTAAGTGCCCTTTAATGCTCACCTAAGATCTGGGCAGAGCCAACGGCGTTATACAGGCATCAGGACGAAAACTGTCCGTTTGAGTTGATACTTTGAGGTTCTTGTTAAGAAATCATAATTATCAGGTACTTTAAATAATGACGGGGTCTGTGGATTTGGGGCTCGAAGGCATTCTCACCCCCACTGTGTTTGGAGCTGTTTAATTGAACTCAACACATTTATTCTCGGTACAGTGTGTTTGGGTCGATGAGAGCAGTCTAATCAAACTGGAGTGCGGACCAATCACTTGCTTTTTGGTTCGCCTCGAAGAGATTAAATTGAAGGCTTTTTTTTTTTTTTTTTGGTTAAAAGTGAGAAAAAAACTGTCAGAACAGTCCATACCCCTGATAATACCCCTGATAATACCAAAATTGCAGTGATAAGATGCAACATTAAAAATAAAGTATTAGACAAACCCAGACAGTATGATACCTGGTCTGTCCACCAGAGGGAGCTCTTCCACCACAGATGGGAGCTGTTCTGCCCACGGTAAACATCAGAGACCAGTCGAGAGGCTTTGATTCTCCCTCTCACTTTGAAAAAAGCGGGAATCCTAGGTTGGAGAGTTGAGACAAAGAGATTCACATCACGTCTCTGTTGCAGCTGTTCTGACAGACCGAGCTCCACCGCAATAAAACTGACACCGCAATAAAAAATATCAGGGAGAGATGGATGTGATGGAGGTCTGTGTGCTGAGAGTTACAGTGCTGGTGCTTCAAATGTCCTGTATTATGAACGTGAAGGTTTCCACAGCTGGAAAGTCAAGTAATTTAGGTTTCAACATCATATTTGATATTCGATTATTTATCAAAAGTCAGAATGAGGTAACAGTGTTGAAACCAGTGCTTTAGTCAAGAATGTGTTTTTATTATATCTGTGTGGGCATCTTTTTCTGCAGTTCACCCTGTAGGAGATTAATCAGTTATTTCTTGATTGACATAAAATGTATTCATTAAGACAAACATTGCCTCAGATGTGAGGATTTGCTGCTTTTCTCTGACATATTAATTGATCAGTAAAACAGTAGCTGGTTGTAGTTGTGTGGTGATGTTTCTATGTACAGTTCGGGCTACTTGTAAGACTCTTAACTCAACATCACAAATGGAGCTTGACCAGTATTTGTGTAAAGTCTTGGCTGATATTTACTTTTTAACACACACACCTCACATAGACATTTTTGATCAGGCCTGCTTATAATTGTTTTAGTATTGTGACTTAGATGTGATGGGGACATTTTACAGTGTAGAAATGAAATTTCTAAATGAATTTATTAAATGTAAAGATTTTCTGAGCTGATATGTCTTGTTACTTATCAGCAGACAATATACGGCATTATGCTGTAGCTCTTCGACGAGCTAAATATCAGTCGGCTGAAAACATACTAAAGACACAGTGTAATTGTTGGCCAATACACTATGCACCTGTAGCCCGGACAGTAACCATGACTCTGTGTGTGTGTGTTGATGTGTGGTGGTGTGGGTGTGGTGTGTGTGTGTCTCCAGTCTGTAGAAGCTGCCTAGTGAAGTATCTGGAAGAAAACAACACGTGCCCCACGTGTAGGATTGTTATTCATCAGAGCCATCCACTGCAGTACATCGGGTGAGTGAGGGAGCCGCCGCAGACACCACACTCTTCTGCTTCTGGACACCACAACCACACAGCACACACACACGCAACAACGCAGACCACATGTTATACACGCACAGGTGACGTACACACACAGGTAGGTTGGCTTTTCCATGTTGTCTTTCTCTCTGTTTCCTTCTGCTTTCACACCTCACAAACCTATAATTGACCCCCACCACACACACACACAACACACACACACACAACACCACACACCACACACACACACACACACCACACAATCCACCCACCCTCTCTCTAAGGTTTTGACAGTGCTCCATCAGTGTGCAGGGAGCTGCTCACTGCCGCTGGGAGCATCAGCAGTGCACTGCCAGTAAGGAATAAACTACCAAGGAACAAAGTGCTGCTGGCCTTTCTCCATTTTATTTCTTCTCCTCTGCAGACAGCTGAGGGTTGTCTGTATTTTTGTGAATTTTTGTAGGGTTACATATGTGAACATAAAAAGGTTAAATTAATAATTCTCTTCCCTAGATGAGCCTCTAAAAAATACATACACTATAAGGTGCAATATATAATATATGCAGTTATTCATTAAATGCAAAGTACTATTACATCTTTCAGTGGATTGCCTCATGGATGGCTGAGAGTGTGCAGATTTTCATATTACTCAAACGTTAATTAATGTGGTTTTAGTAATTCATTCCTGTGATCGGTGATCCTACTTAAATAAAGGCTGTTACTGTTTATGATTAGTAAATGAATGAACAGTAATATCATCATATCAGTCGGTGGTATCAGCTCCCCCATGTGAGTCTGTGAAGGCCTCTCGTTCTGTTTAGAGTACTCGTCCAGTTTAGCATTGCACTCCTCTGAAACTGCCAGGCTTTTAAAAGATTAAAATCAATGAAATTTTGGGCTTGTAGTTAGTTATCTGTCTGAGCCCCTTCCAGACACCAACATTATGAGAAGTGAACGGGTCTTTCTAAACACAACTTAACATATGTAAATGTTTCAGTCATATACTTCATATAATATAAATATAATTCATATATTTCACATAATGTTTTGTGAACTATATACTGACATCTTGACATCTGAAATAAAGAAGTAATACAATCATTTCTCTTACCGGCAGGGAGTGATAATACCTGCATGAGAGGGGCCTGAGGGGGGTGCTGCAGTTGGACCCTTTTGCCAATTACACACTGCCTATTATGACATTTCTCTGCTAGCTACTGTTACACATAACAGTCAGCTTGTTCATAATGTGGAGTTGGCTAGTTGCCCCAAATGTATACAAGATGAACCCTCGGATATCTTTAAACATTTAACAGGAAGAGAAAAGCGAGGGAATTTCATATAAAAATACATACAAAATGTATAAAATGATGTACATATTATACATATGGCTGACATAAAAATATAACAGAACTATTTTCACAGGCACACTTGATAAGATCTTGGTAAATGTAGTTTTTATTAAACTGTCTTTAGAAAGGGAAACGGTAAATACATTTTTAAACTTGACATCATTAAATTTAAAGGTAACAGAACATTGGCTCAATACCACACACAGACAATAGAAGCTATATAATACTGTAGAGATATAGTGGATCTTTGTAATAATAACATCGACTATACATTATCGTAGCTCAGACAGTGAAGTTAATGTAACTACTGACAGCTGCTCACCACTGCTGATAGAGTGGACACAGAGCGTGACTGTTATGAAACTGTAGGGGGCCTCAGCAAGCACAGCTGGGAAATATTTGAATAAATTTGCTTCAAAAATGACAACAAATTGCACCTTATCTTTAAAATAATAGTATTGAATGAAGTTTTTCTCGTCAGGTAAAAATGAAGACGTAGACATCTGCTTCTTACTGTTTTGGGAAGTTCACTCAGACTGAATCCTCCTCACTGAGGGATTTTGTTGTTCGTGCCCCTTCTGAGCGCTCAAGCGTTAACGTCTGATTAATGCGACACACAAACTTAATGTGTAACAGCAATTTAGTCATTACAGCCTAAACTGCGCTGTCTGCAGACTCATTGTTTTGCAGGAAATGCTCCATTTCAAACACATTAGCTCTTCGCACAGCTGTTTTTTGCCTCATTGTTTGCAGGAAATTGGAGTTGATGGGAAACATCACAAGTGATTTGAAGGCAAAAACGCCCAACAGATGACGGATAAACCCCATCTGCTCATCAAGAGGATTGATCAAAGTTGATGTTTGAGATTGAACTCAAAATCACACAGACGTCTCCTCACAGAGAATTAGCTGAGCAGAACTAATCCTGCCCCTTGTACTGTCGAGTGTGGCTTTACTTGATGGGTTTAATCCTTTATTTTTTTCACCTAATACTTGAATGATTCTGGTTATGACAATAAAACCATCACAAAATCATACTGAACATTATGTTAAACAGCTGCAAAGAACGCACTTTATGCATTTTATAGTGGCACAATGGAAATCAGTTAATGTAGCTGCTTGTTTATATATACATTTGCCACGTCTTGCCTTTACAGCACTGTTTTTATGTTAAACCTTTATTTACCCTTGTAAAAGTCTCCTTTCAAATAGCAGCACAAGAAATCAATGTTATTGCAAGACAGACAAAATATAGCATTCACGCCAATTAAACGGTAACAGTAGTGAGATTATAGTTTATATACCTGGTGCAAATACACATATATACCTACAGACAGGTGACAAAAAAAGGGGAAACCTGAATAAATGTTTTCGAGAAAGAGGGCTAAATAAATGGTATGTGAATTATATGCTATGGCCTTTACAGTCATCAGATCTCAACACATTTTGAGCAATGTTAGACGATGATCTCCACCACCATCAACCCCGAATAATAAAGAAACATCTTTTGAAGAATGACGGACAGACTTTTAGAATCTATGCTAATTGTCACATTTGCACACAGCAGAGCTCAGTAACAGTCCAAACTTGGTTGTGAGAATGATACTCCCAGCTCTGTCCAGCAGGGGTCAGTGTTCTGCTGCTTTTTGGAGCGAGGCTCAGCATCAAGCAGCTAATTTTGGCCCCAGATACAGTGACTCTCCCAGTGGACAGCAGGGGAGACAAACATGCCACATTTTTCTGTGGTTTTTCCACCATAACGCCGCAGCAAACTCAACATGTCGTGTCCGTTAGCTGGCTGCCACGGCTGGTTGTCCAAAACGCACCATCATGGTGATGGCAGACCTGAGCCCACACTGTGCACCTGTGTCGCCGGCACTGGCTAACAGTGAAATGCTATTTAACACTCTGACTGACAGAGCATATGCTGCACACTAGCCTCTGAGAGCTGGTGCCATTTGGATTTTTCAGCCTAATATAACATGTTTGCCGTAGATCCATATGTGTCAGTTTTATATTTTCTGGTTTTTATCAGGCAGGGATTTCACAGTTAGCTGTGCCTAGAGTTGTACTGTAGATCAGTGGTTGCCAGCCTTTCTTGGCTTGTGACTTCTTTAAACAAAGCATTGTCTATTTGTAACTCATTTTAGAGGCCCGGATAGGTGAAGAAATAAACATGTATTCTGTAGCAGCATAGATATATTTCAGATGAAATGATACTGACTCCTTTGTGGATAGGGAACTACTGCTGTAGATTATACAAAACCATTTTAAATCCTAAACCATACAGTGCTCTGGAATATTTCACACGTGTGGCTATCTTTGGATATCAAATTCAAATGCTGTTGGTCCATAATGTTAATTCTCATCAACTAATAAGGTAACTAATCAATTTCTTGTTTTTTTTTTTTAGCCATGACAGAACAATGCAAGACATTGTCTACAAGTTGGTACCGGGACTTCAAGAGGGTAAGTGCCATTTACTGTCTTTACTTATGAAGCCACCCAGTGAGAGATCCAACTAATAACCTCAAAAGTCTAGCTTGCATTGTGCTCTACCGATGTCCAGTATCTATGTCTCAGGGTTCGTACAAGTCTTGATTTTCAACATACTCTGGTGTTCATTAACACAATCACTCATGTAAACCAAAAGTCTTTGGTTATTTGAAATTAAGCGATCCAGTTGTTGTTTGTCATTTGTTTGCTGTCTCCTGACGTTTGCACTTGTCATTCCTTTACTCTGGAAATTAGCAAGCATTAAATAATGATAATGATCAAAACATGAAATCAAAGTTAATATGAACAGATGGTAAAATAAACAAGGTGACAAAATACAATGATTGCTGTGGGTATACAGGAATTCTGTCATTTATAGTAACAATTTAAATTTAATGCTAAAGGTTTTCAGAGTCTGGACATTTTTGGTTTAGGTACCTTGAAAGTGCTTGAAAAGTACTTGAATTTTGAAAACTGTGCGGACCCTGCTGTATGTATGTTCACAAACTGGCTGGCCATCCACGAGTAATGATTTTTAATAAAATATTAAATTGCTGGGCTGTGAGACCTAATGAAGCAGGTTATAGTGCACACACACATAATCACACACACCGCTGAATTTGTAATGCCCAGTGACAGCAGTGACCTTGAGAAAACGACCCTGTCATTTCTTAATTTTCTCTCTTCCTCGTCCTATGCAGCGGAGATAAAGAAGCAGAGGGATTTCTATCAGAAACTGGGGATGGAGGTGCCTGGAGACATTAAAGGAGAGCTTTGCAATATGAAGACTCATCTAGATCAACGCAATGGTACGGCCTTACCCACACATGCTCCTTCGGTTGTTTTTATAAACACTCAGAGGATACACAGACAGATTTTTGTTTTTGGGTCATTCCTTGCAAATACTGTCATGGATGAATTCTTACGTCTGGTCAAAAAGGAACCCACTAGTGATTGTAATGTCTTGAATTGAAAAATGTGAAAATGTATCCCAACCAGACACATTGGAATCCAACAGTTTCAGTCTTAATTTGGTAATGATACATAATAAAGGTTGATAGTTGGTTTTGTCTGGTCAAATATGCACATAATTTTTTTAGTGATAGCATCCCCTGTGTGAATCCAGTAACTACCCCTGGTGGCTTTAGTAGCTTGATTTGTACCAGGTTCTCCCCTGTTCAACATGCCCTTAATGTAGTGGAGGCCACAGCATGCCAAAAGGTGTTGCATACCTCTATCTTGTCTTATGAGTTATGGGTAGAAATTTGTCCAAATGTTAGTAGCGATAAACATGTCTGAGGTGATCAAACAACCCAACAAAAACAAGGAATAGGAGGGAAGGGAATGTTCCCTTCCCTCATCAGATGGGCTTTGAATGGTATTAACAAATTGTAGCTTCCACTTCTAAATCAATTTCGTCTGCGTTTTTTAAGCAGTAAGTGGGAGATGCCAAGCAAAATTGTAACGTCCTGAAAATCCATGATCATAAGTAGCTTAGTACCAAAAACTGTTGGACAGAGCCCAAGAAAAGGTTGTCACCTCGGCAGCGTGAGTGTCTGGTTCTTCTCATTGTACTATATAAGGCATGAAGCCACCAACTTGTAATGAGTAACATTAGAAGCAAGACCACAAGTAACAGCGGAAGCCATTAAGCAGTAGAGATGAAGGCAATTTAGCCAATCAGAATGAGTCCCCGGACCGCTTGTTGTGCGGCTTTTCCGTACCAGCTCACTTCCAAGGGCTGGTGTAAATGTGTGCCCAGAGGGTTGTCATGCTGGCAGGCCTAATCGCTCGCTTAATCCCCCTCTCTGATTTTGGTAATTAAGGCTCAAATGGAAGTGGAACTGCTCTTCGGCTTCCTGGGCATCGTTGCTTGAAGACAGTTTAGCTACAGCACACACACACACACAC